GCGTAGCCTACAGGGTTCTCTGGCTTCAGTGCACTGGGTGTGCACACCTGAGTGGAATACACATCTGCACCTACATCTCGAAGAACAACAGTTATAGTATAGGTAAGCAATAGTTTTTTATGCTCACTCAGAGCTCATTCTGGATTGGTGCCTAACTATATACAAAGGCCTGGATCCACACAGGCACTTAGTTGTTGCCATGCTCAGTATCATGGCATCAAACTTTTAGGTGCCTAGGAAATCACAGGAACAACACTGTGATCCACAAAATCTGAATTAAGTGCCTAGGCTCACTATACAATGAATGGGGAATGGGGGAGGGAAAGGTGCCTTACAGCATGATCCACAAAAACAACACAGTAGGTGGGGAGCTGCCCAAACTAGCCAATGAGAGATGCTGATGATAGGGGTTTGTGCTAAACTATGTCCTCTGAGATAGGCATCTATCTCTGTTTAGCAATCCATGAAAGGGAACCTGCCACCTGGAGTTAGGTGCCTGAGGGGCCTAAGTCATTTCTTGTGTGAATGAGTTACCTGTCTACCTCACTCCTTGCTCACCTTATAACTTTTAGCCTGGTGTTTAGAGCACTCATCTAGGGTTTGGGTGACACCCCACTCGTCACCAGAGGGGAAGAAAGGATTTGAACATAGGTCTCCCATTTTTTAGGAGGATGTTCTAGCCACTGAGCTATGGAATAGTCTGATGTGGGTGCCTGTTGAAACTGTTCCACTGTGCATAAATACTTATAGTCATATATAGAAAGAGAATGACTGGAGTCCAGTAGTTAGGCCATTCATGTGAGAGACCCACGGTCCAGTCCCCAGTCCCGCTGCTCTTATCACTCTTTCATTATTTACCCACAGCTTCAACAGGAGATACTGAGGGAGTCCCACATTAGACTGGTGGTTAGAGCACTCTCTTGGGAGACCCATGTTCAAATCCTTTCCCTCTCTGCAGCAGAGGGAGGAATTGAACCCAGGTGAGTGCTCTAACCCCTGGGTTAAAAGTTTTTAGGTGGGCGCAACCATATCCTCCTCCTTCTGCTGCATTCCGAAAGGGACCTGCTCTGGTAGTAGTGGTCAGAGGTCACATGCTGGATTGGGCCCTGCATGCAACTGAGGTGGCTGCACGCTTATTTTCTCCCCCAATTTGTTAGTTTCTCTGGGGCCTTAGGCAGGAGATAAATGTCTGGACGCCTAGAGGGTGGCAGCCATGCATTTGCCCAGAAATGTAGACGTGTAAGGAACTTTTACTCTGAAAACTTAGACACTGAGCGAGTTTAGGCAACCACAGGGTTCAGTGGGAGTTTTGTGAATTGCAGTGGAGCCTAAAGTGGGACCCAAGGTGCCTAAACCCCCAGTTTAGGCACCTGAGTCTGGGATGTTAGGCATGTAAGTGGGTTTGGGCCAAAATGCAGTCAATACACAAAATTAAGCAAGCTGGAAACAGAGGAAAATATTGTTAATTTTGTCAGTTATAGTGATCGTATATATTTCTTGTAACAATAGGAGGTATGTTTTCAGACTGATTTTTAAGTTGGCATTGTCCTTTAAAGTATGATGGAAATGGGCTGTCTTCAACGGTGACCCCCAAAGACAACAAATGGGAGCATCAGTCATCTAGTTTTCTACAGATATCACCTCTCTCTCTTTGCTCTGGTTTATATTCTTTCCTGGGGTTAAGGAGACTTCATGAGATCCTGCTGATTCACCAGTCTTCATTAGTTGATTGCATGCAGCCTGTTTGACAGAGGTCTCCATTCTCCTGCCGCTCAGGGCTGCTAGGGGTATGGTTGTAATCCCATCGTTGCAAGATCCTTTGTACATTTAATCCTCACTTTTTCTTCATCCCTGAGTGTTAAAGGCATATTTGTTGGAAGCTTAGGGCTTGTCTTCACTACGGGTGTAAATTGACCTAAATTATGCTACTCCAGCTATGTGAATAACATAGCTGGAGTTGATGTAGCTTAGGTCAACTTACCCCAGTGTCTTCACAGCGCTGAGTTGATGGGAAATGCTTTCCGGTCAACTTCCCTTACTTAGGGTGACCGGACGTCCCATTTTTAAAGGAACAGTCCCGTATTTAAGACCTCCTGCAGGTGTCCCAACTTTTTCTTAAAAACAGGCAAATTGTCCCGTATTTTCTGTCTCCCACCGCATCAGTACTGGTGGGTCCTGCTGCTGGCTGGATCCCTGCTTGCCAGCGGCCTACCCACCAGTAGCTGACGATGGGAGTAGGTGTGCAAGGCTGGTGGCAGGGCAAAGATGCAGCATGCCACTCTCCCTGCTTTTCCATCTGTGCAGCCCCCACTGTGTGTTGGCTCTTGGCCAGCAGAGCCCCTCCCCCTGTCCTGTTTCCAGCTGGCACTGTCTGTGCTCTGCGAGTTGCAGTGGTTGATGAGTGCGGGTAGGTGCCAGCTGGTTACGTGTTGCCTCTGTCACCCACCCATTAGCCCTTTACATTCTCCCCCTCTCATTGTCCTCTCCCTGCTTTGCCCCTTCACCATTCCTAGCCCTGCGGCTCCTCCATATCCCACCTCGGTGAGGCGTGTCCTGCTTCCAGCACTGTGCGGAGAACCAGGCTCTGGTTGGCGTGCTGAGCTCACCAACAGCCTGGCCAGCAGGCTCCTTCCTTCCCCCACTGCCTCTGGCTGGGCCAGTGCCCCAAGAAAGCTCAAGACCCTCTGGTCCAGGGTGCTGGGCAGGAGGAGCCAAGCCCTGCATGTGACAAAGCCCCGCACAGCACTGGCATGGGGAAGCCTCTCCGCCCCTCACCTAAGCTCTGGCATGGCGGGGTAGGGGAAGTGATTTCCAGCTTGTTCACACCCGGAACCTGTAGGGTCCACAGCAGCCCCTGGGGCAGGAGCTTAGAACCCTCTTCGTCCTCTACCCCGGGTCCTGCCCCCAAGGAGCACAGGGTTGCTCTGTTCCCTTAGGCACCCTCCTCTGTTGAGCCACTTCTCTGGTCAGATTCGCTGAAGCCCCTGAAGTCAGGTTCCCTGGGCCCTGCTGCACAATGCAGCCTTAGGCTTAACCCTTTCCTGCCCACACTGTAGCCGGAGGACAGGAGGCGGCTGGGTTATGGTGCTGGCTAGCAGCAATCTGGAGGTGTTAGCTGCCTTTTGGCACCGTATGGACAAGAAGGGACAAGCTGCTTCCAGCCACACAGGAGAGGTGGTGGATGGCAAGAGATGAGCTCTGCAAAGACACAGGCCAGGTCATTCTTTCATCCTCCCACCTTCTCTGTGGCTGGAAGCAGCTCCCGTCCCTTCCCTCCCGCACAGTGCCAAAAGGCTGCTGCTGACCACATTCTGGTGTGAACCCTGGCAGAAATGTGGGGAGGGGGGACATATGACCCTGCATGCTCCCCCACGTGTTGCCTCAGGAAGATGCGGATGTGGTGGCAGGTACTAGGAGAATTGGGTTCATCCCGGGGGCCCAGCCAGGCCTGGAGGGCGGAGAGCATCAGGCAGGGAGGGTGGGGTCAGTCGGTCACCCTCCTGTGTGAGAGAGGTGTATGGAAGTGTGTGTATGTCACCCCTCCCTGTGTGTCTGTGTGCGGGGGTTGGGGGGGTGTCACTCCTCCCCGTGTGAACTATAAAGCCTTAAAGATAAGGTAAATAAAAAGAATCCAACTATGAGGTATTTCTTTTTAACAGGGGCTCAGTCAACTTGATGTTAATTTGAATGTTTGTACAATTGATTGCCATTGAACTCACTTGAATACAAGTAATTTTACCAGGTGTCCCATATTCAGCATATGGAAATATGGCCACCCTACCCTTACTCTTTTTTGAGAGCTGGAGTACCAGGGTCCACCGGAGAGAGCTCTGCCATTGATTTAGCGGGTCTTCACTAGACCCACTAAATCTATTGCAGCACCATTGATCTCCCCATAGTGGAGACCAGCCCTTAGTGTCCACTTACCACACACACCATTTGGAAAGAAGGTCAGCATTTGCATTCAATTTCTTGGCTGCAAACAAAAGGAGGAGGTTTGTAGGAACAGGTAGCAGCGGGTGAATCTGGAATATTTAATATTCTTTATTTTCCGTTGTTGCAGAAAGTTAATATGAAAAGTCTCCTCATCTCTGATCTGCTCTCAGCCTGGCTGACAGACCTACTAATCTAGAGAACTCTGCCTCCATATGGGCTCTTGGAGCCTTTGCAGTTTACTCAAAAGCTTGCCATCCAAGTTGGACAGCAGTCTCAGCACTCAGTCTCTGTAGCAGAATTTTTAGAAGTAGGTGTTCCTGTTTTAGGCCCTGATTCTGCAAACCTGCACATGCTTAAGTTTACTCATATGAGAGGTCTCATTGAAGTCAAGGAAATGTAGGAAAAATGGGAATGTCTAATATTAACAAGGTACAAGCTGTATCTGGAAAATACTGAGAGACAACCTGATGCAGACAATCGGGCTATTCACATGCACAAAATTAGAAGTGCATAAATATTTTTAGAATTAGGGGCCTCATGGATGTACATTTCTGTGCTGGGCCTGCAACAGGATCTGCAGTGCTTACTTCTGTGTAAACTAAAATGATGAATCTGCTGTGGAAAATTCAGGAACACATCCAGTGAAAGAGAAAGTTAAAGCATGCTTTTTAGACAGTGATCAATGTGGATTAATTTCTTTAACATCTTTTTGAATGTTAGTTTATTTGAGCAGTTCAGTTTATCAATATGGGTGTGAGAACATATGCATATATTAAAAGTATAATTTAAATCTGGGGTAGTGGTAAGAATAAAGCCTTCTGTCCTTGTTTTCATAGCTCCCAATCCTGCAATTGGTTCTTTGGAGGATTGGGGCCATACTTTACAGTGTCACCAGAACTGCTCGATGGATTTACAGGTTCATGTAGAGTTAGAGGTACACTACTGCTTACGTTTTTTTATATAAACGTAGGGTTATTTGTTTGTATAAACCATAGTTTGTTCTATTAAAACAGGTGTTTTCAGTCCAGTATTTTAATATTATTACTTTGACTCTTTTTCTTTAGGTTTTGCAGGGTGGCTGAGTGGCATGGCAATTAATATCTATTCTGATCACATTCTCAGAAATCTGAGAAAACCAGGGGAAACAGGCTACAAAATACCAAGAGGTGAGTAAAAAGTTAAGGAATTTAAAATTGCAAAGGAATGTCTCAGAACTTGGTTCTATTGTATTTAAAGGACATAAATTGCTCAGGGACATAACAAATATCAAGATCAGGAAACCAATGGCAAGAGGATTTTCAAGCGTATTTCCTGAAACAAGAAATTGCCTTTATTACTCTAAATGAAGGGAAACGATCTGACTACACCGCAAAAACCCTGCCTATCTCTGTGTAACTGCCTCAGAGCAAAAGGCTGCTTTTGTAGAGACTAGTAACCTAGTGATGACCCAAGGTCTGTTAATATTTGTTGCTCTGCAGTTTTTTAGATACTCCATTTCTGCACTGCTTTCTCACAGTTATTGTTAATGTGTTTATTCACTCTTCTGAGAATTAACAAGCCTTTCCACTGAATTTTGCAACCATCTTTTGCAATCATTTTGCAATCTTTCCTTGGCAATCATTCTTCTTATTTGAATTTTGAGATTACCCTCTAACATTGACAATTGTGAATAAAGTACCCACGCAGGACTTCATTGCAGGCTTCCTATGAAACGATCAACGTATAAAGTTTTGCAAAAGAAGTGAGAGGTTAATTGCTGCACAGGTAGAAGGATGCTGTTTTTAAAAATGTATTTACCTAAATAAAATCAACAACTTTAAACCAAGATGTGATGTAAGGAATTTTCATGTCAAAAGTAAGTACTGTGCTTGGCATCCACTGTACTTTTCTGATACCTGTTTCATTTTTATTACTTAAAGAAAACAGTTTTAAAACTTTTTCCCTGATTTTTGCCTCCCTTAAATTGAATAGCATTTGCTCATCTGAGTACTCTTACTGATGACAATGGAACTATCTGAGTCAGTGCTCTTCTAAATGAATAAGAGTGCGAGAATCCTTTTATTTATTTTACTTCTAATTCCCAGTAGTGAAGAGTTGACTTTAGGCTCACACAGCTGTGAAATACAATTTGGGACTCTTTAATACCTTGTCTCTTTCAATAGGGGCCAGAGTTAAAACAGTAAAGTTGACTATTCTCCTGAGATTCTTTTATTCCTGTTTCCTAGTGAGGTGTTGTTTTTTTAACCAAACTTTAAGCAAACGAATTCTGTGGTTTAAGTGGGTAAAATACTTAGGACTAAACTGTCATTCAGAAGAGTAAAATTGTGGAGAGTTTGGCACTAACTTAATTTCTAAGGTATCCCACTAGGATACAGATTTTAAACATTGTATTAATCTAACTAAATGACGCTTTGAAAACAGTTTGGTACTATTCAAAAAGGCTATCATTTATAAATAGAAATATCACACTTTTGAGTTCTCATAAATTCTGGCTCTCACATATTTCAAAACTTGGAAGCAGTTAATTGAATGTGTACTTGTGGGGCTCTGTGACCAGATTGGCCACTGCTTTACAGGCATTTGTCGAGGATTTCTAGTAGGCTTTGTACCACATTTTCAAGCGTAGGTACGAGCAACATGAGAGAATTCATGAGAGAATGACATCTGCATGTGAATAAAGGTGTACTGTTAGGTGAATCATACATGCAAAAACAGTGGAAACCATACACATTTTGCTACTTTTTTTTTGGAATGACTATACATTGTAAAAAGAAAAGGAGTACTTGTGGTACCTTAGAGACTAACAAATTTATTTGAGCATAAGCTTTCGTGAGCTACAGCTCACTTCATCAGATGCATGCAGTGGAAAATACAGTATGGGGATTTTATATACACAGAGAACATGAAACAATGGATGTTACCATACACACTGTAACGAGAGTGATCAGGTAAGGTGAGCTATTACCAGCAGGAGAGAAAAAAAACAAACAAAAAACCTTTTGTAGTGATAATCATGGTGGGCCATTTCCAGCAGTTGACAAGAACCTGTGAGGAACAGTAGGGGGGAAAAAATAAACATGGGGAAATAGTTTTACTTTGTGTAATGACACATCCACTCCCAGTCTTTATTCAAGCCTAATTTAATGGTGTCCAGTTTGCAAATTAATTCCAATTCAGCAGTCTCTCGTTGGAGTCTGTTTTTGAAGTCTTTTTGTTGTAATAATGCCACTTTTAGGTCTGTACTAGAGAGATTGAAGTGTTGCACCGTTATGAATGTAGATATGCTTGTTAACCTTAGAGGGAAAAATTAGGGCCATTTCCTGCTCTTATTACTACTGGGAGTAGTCTCACTAACTGAGCAAGACTGGGCCCTACAGCACACACAAATATGAATAATTCAACCATTTTAGAATTTTCTACAATACAAAAAGACTTCTTTGTAGATGGAACAGTCAGCTTTTTTCAGTGTAAAATAGCGATGTATGTAGGCACAAAGCCTTCTGAAATCAGTTAACTTATTTTGCCCATACTTTAGTAATTTACGAAAATTGTCTGAAAGTTGAGATTTCAGAACTGCTTAGCCCAAAGAAACTCATTCATAGTAGAAACCTTGCAAAGAAGTAATTCTTTTACCACAAATGGGGTTAATAAAGGAAATCTAGCCAGCCCTTCCTGATTCAACTATTACTACAGTTACAGGTGCCATTGTAACTCTCCTTGCATCGAATTATAATAATGTGTTGTGTTCTTTAGGAGGATTGTTTGAATATGTAACTGGAGCCAACTTTTTTGGAGAGATTCTTGAATGGTTTGGATTTGCTCTTGCCAGCTGCACCTTTGAAAGTGCTGCTTTTGCCATATGCACACTTTTCATCCTAGGTTCCAGGGCACACCATCATCATCAGTAAGTTTTAAAAATTTAAAAATTTCAATCTCCTCTTCTTCACTTTTCCTCTAAATTATCTGCTATTGAGTCTCAAATTCTAGGGTGTAAAAATATTTCTAGAACATAAAGATATAAGAGGGTTTTATATGTAGCCATACAAAAATGTTGACTCTGAAGTATTTTTTCTTTTGATAACTTTACATTTGGATTACTGAAAGCATTTTAAAATAAAATAATTTATCCTAATCTTATGGGGCTTTTTAAGAAATGGCAGAGGGAGAATAGCATGTTAAAAAAAATGAGGGCCATTTCCTGAGCAGGTATAAGTTGGCATAACTCAGTTGAATTAAGTCATTAGAGGAGGACCCTGCCCAATGTTCCTTTCATTGCCTTTGTTACTAAGAACACTTTTCTGAAACCTAAAGTGTTAGGGGGCTTATTCCTTCACCCACTTACTTCCCTGGTCCTTCTCGCATGAACAGAGAGCAACAATACCCGAAGTCCAAAGGTGCAAACAATTCGATGTTTATTGGGGTGAACTTCCAGCAAGCATGATTCCAGTTTCCTTCCTTAGTATCCTCCTTCCCAGCTCTGACACCACAGAGCCTTACACGTGTGTCCCTGTTCCCATTCCTACCCTTAGCCAAACATGATTCCAATTTTCTTACCCCCATTCCCTGTTCCCATTTCCCCCTTTAGCAAAACATGATTCCAATTTTCTTACCCCCATTCCCTGTTCCCATCTCACACACCCACATGCCCACCCCCACCCACACCCCGTCACTTCCTCATTGACTACAGATTATATAGTAAAACTTGAGTTCTGCTTAGCTATACCTTAACCAATCATTTTCCTGAAATTTAACTAACCAATCCTAACATATTGTAACATGATTATGTAACCAATTATATCCCACCACCTCAATTAGTTTAATTATACAGCAGACAGGAACAATCACAGAACCAGACAGAGATTATACAGACAAACAACAGCAAAGTGGGAACTATAATGACAAAACAATACAGAAGTGAGGATTTCACATCCCAGCTATTGATAAGTGAGTTCTTGCCAGACAGGATGCTATCAAACTAAGTTTCCTTTTACATTTTCTAGGCACTTCCCTTCCTCTGGAGGTGATAGGAATACAATCCTGTCCTGATAGTGCCTAACAGCCCAATAGCACCTTATTTCAATGTGACTAGTTTGGAATGTGAGGATGTGACCGTTCGCTTCCCAGCTTATGGCTGCCTCTGCTGCTTAGCCAAAGGCCTGAGCCTAAGCACAGGGCCACAAACTGTCACAGTAAGAGAAGGCCCTTACACTGGCAGACAGTGGTTTTGATTCTTTCTTTTATACCTCTATCACTAGCCAAGTGATAAGAATACACCTAAATTCTTAGAGTATAGGCCTTTACAGACAGGCCTGAATATCTATATCCTAACACTCCACCCCTTTTTTTTTTTCTTTTTCTTTTGGGATCCTCCTGCCCAGGTATCCCTGGAAAAGCATAGGACATATGGTGACACATTTCCTGATAGGGCCAGGCATCAAGGTGGAAGGTGTCGATATTCCATTTGTCCCACTGCCCCTTGTGTAGTATTGTGCCCTGCACCTTCTCTCATACGGGCATACCACACCTATTCCAATTAGTGTTCCAGACTTCCCATTAGAGTGGGCCTGAGAAGGTTGGGTCCGGGTTGTCTAGTACACTGCAGGGTTTGGAGGGCTTATTACATTCCTAATAGGTTATCTCCCTATGCAACGTAACACAAGTACAGTTAACAATACAAAATCCACAGCAACACCGAGTCCTGACCACTGCAGTATGGTCCAACATCCGAGACACCCCCAAAATACTGCCTCTCCTCCTTCGATGGGGTCACGATCTTGTGTCCAGTTGCTGGCAGTTGCAACAAGCTGCTCCTGCAAGTTTTGTATGCTTTTGTCCATATCACAAGTCCATTGAATGTTCACAGAGAAATGGGATATTGTCCAAACCAGCTTGACCACTTGGTATGGAATCAGGCAGTAAGCCCTGGCTTATTCACAGCAATAAGATTCACAGATCCATTTGTGCACCAAAGTCCATATAGCAGCATGTAGATGGGTGTAGTTTGGTTATGGGCTGGTGTAATTGTGCCCCCAGTAATATGTATATTCCCAGCAAAACACCTTATACACAGTACATCCAATTGTCCACCCCTTGCATAGGCCATTGATCCTGCTCCTCTATAGTCATAGGAGAGGGGCACATCCAAACATCTTCTATTGATTTACACTATTTTACACACCCCTCCATTGATTCCCAGTGAGCTCCTCCCCTTCATTATTTCCATAGGGCTTGTGGGGGCCCCCTTAGTTGCCATTCCATTTCCAGGTACCACGGTAGCTATTACACAGGTGCTGGCCTCCTAGTTGAGAATTTGCATTCCCATACACATCTTCCCCCCCAGGGCCAGCCTTTGGAAGCCATCCCCCACCCACATCATGAGGTTTTCTGTTCATTAAAACACAACAATGCTAGCAACAAGACAAACACCACAGACAAACAACACAAAACATAGATCCATGGTATTCTGGGTTATTTTTCCCGCTGGCGCCAGCTTGCTTGTAGAGTGTCTGAAAAACAAAAGAAACAATTTCCTTCCCCATGGTGGGGACAGATTATTAATAATAATACCACTTTCTTTTACAAATGTCCTTGCTACTTGCAGGAAAAACAGAAGAATTACCTCCAGACTGTCCTTATTTTGTTCTATAGTCAGGCTAGTGAATTACCTCATTCACTGGTCATTTATGAAATTCATGAGATGGTGTACCTCAGTTTCCCCTCTTGTACAACAGACCAAGTTTGCAATAGTTTCTCTGCTGTACCAAGCTTTAAGTTTATTCTCAGGTAATAGCTGCGACACAGCTTCAGATTTTAGCACTGTACACACACACCCCTTAAGGTTAACCTGTCCCCCTTATTTTCAGGCTTGACTTGTTTTTTTCACCTCCCTTTCCTGAAGGGCCATAATCTGAGTCTTCTAGTAGCTTGTTTGCTGACCAGATGTATTCAGTTATTTGCAGCTCCTTTGTGCCCATCAGCTAGGTAATTTGCATTTACACACAGAGGCTTACTAGCTTGCTTTTGGATCCAAAGCTGTTAGCAGCTCAGACACTGTCTTAAAAGGGAAGCGTTTTACTTCCACCAGAGTTCTGATTACTTTCCACTTTCATCTCCTGCTCCAAAACACAGCGATCTGAAAAAGAAAGCACAACCTATTGTGGCTCCTTTTGGAGCCCTATTAGGATTTTAATGAAGTACCATGTTTTATTTGCATTTCTTTTACTCCTTTTCCAATATACACTGCACATGTCCTGGGAAAATGCAAATTCCTTCCATATAGTTTAACCTCCATAACATCATATTAGCCAAATTAATTTTACACAAGGTATAACTGCCTCCCCCATGCCTACAGAGTTTTCATGCAGAACCCACCAAAGCAACAATCTAATCCCCCAGAGCCATCCCAAGGCTCAGTGTTCCCATCATTCCTCCCCTTTTCCTTTTCTTTTACCTGTGCACACACACACAAAATTCTGTTTTGCCTAACATCCCTTGCACTGTGATTACTCTTTTTTACACAACTGTACCCCGATTACACTTCCATCTTGTACAACTAGACACAACCAGGGGCAGCCAAGTTAAGTTCCAAAAGAAACCTCTTCCATCCTTTAGTGATTTTGATTACATTACCCAATAGTCAAATAATTTTGCTCAGATTCTCTCTCTGCCTGCTGCCTGCAGCAGTCCCTTATAGACTATTTCTGTGGGAAAAGGGCCCATTTTCCCTCAGAATAGCTATAAAGGCCTCTGGGGACAGAAGCGTAGTGGTGATAGTAGCCACTCTACCTGACCCCCTTGGATAATTTAATGACCAAGCTTCCATCCAATGTGACTGCACAGAGTTGCACATACAGTTACATTTATATAACTGGGTTTTATCATTAAACAAAAACTTCCTTCTTGACATCTCACATAAGTATCCAAAGTACCCTCCATTAAAACTTCAGAAAAACAAAAGAGTGTGGAAAGGCAGGTTGCACTTTGAAACCTTTATTTTTTTTTTCCTCTACTCCCCCAGGACCAAGTCTCAGATCCAGTCTCTAAAGGTGGTCTGTTAACTCTGCTTTTGACCTTAAACCCTTTTGTGCCAAATCATCTTTCACTTCCCCTAACTAATTTACAACCCTTCAGCAGCCCTTGCTGAAGCAGCACCAAACTTGAAAGATTACTGGCAGCTTCCCATAATGCTGCCCTTACTTCAAACCTCTCAAGCAGACTGAAGTGCCTCTTTTCCCTGGGAGGCATTCAGTCCCCATGGGCAGGGACCTTCTTCCCCTACCCATATACCAAGGAGGGTGGGCTCCTCAGCCACCCCCCATACCTCTGGGTCCCCTAACACTTCCTCCATTTCCTTTTTAATCTTATCCCAGGTTGACCCCTGTACCTGGTATGGGCCCTGGTCCTCCCTTATCCATTTATCCAAAAAATCCTTTACCCTGGCTTGCCAGAACCCGCAACTACCATCACGAGAGTTCGCGATACCCCCTCCAAGCAGCTGCGCGGACTGTTGGGGAGGGGGACTTACAGGCTGCCACTCACCTATCCAATGCGATGCATCCGAGTCACCGGCACCAAGATGTTAGGGGGCTTATTCCTTCACCCACTTACTTCCCTGGTCCTTCTCGCATGAACAGAGAGCAACAATACCCGAAGTCCAAAGGTGCAAACAATTCGATGTTTATTGGGGTGAACTTCCAGCAAGCATGATTCCAGTTTCCTTCCTTAGTATCCTCCTTCCCAGCTCTGACACCACAGAGCCTTACACGTGTGTCCCTGTTCCCATTCCTACCCATAGCCAAACATGATTCCAATTTTCTTACCCCCATTCCCTGTTCCCATTTCCCCCTTTAGCAAAACATGATTCCAATTTTCTTACCCCCATTCCCATCTCCCCCTTTAGCAAAACATGATTCCAATTTTCTTACCCCCATTCCCTGTTCCCATCTCACACACCCACATGCCCACCCCCACCCACACCCCGTCACTTCCTCATTGACTACAGATTATATAGTAAAACTTGAGTTCTGCTTAGCTATACCTTAACCAATCATTTTCCTGAAATTTAACTAACCAATCCTAACATATTGTAACATGATTATGTAACCAATTATATCCCACCACCTCAATTAGTTTAATTATACAGCAGACAGGAACAATCACAGAACCAGACAGAGATTATACAGACAAACAACAGCAAAGTGGGAACTATAATGACAAAACAATACAGAAGTGAGGATTTCACATCCCAGCTATTGATAAGTGAGTTCTTGCCAGACAGGATGCTATCAAACTAAGTTTCCTTTTACATTTTCTAGGCACTTCCCTTCCTCTGGAGGTGATAGGAATACAATCCTGTCCTGATAGTGCCTAACAGCCCAATAGCACCTTATTTCAATGTGACTAGTTTGGAATGTGAGGATGTGACCGTTCGCTTCCCAGCTTATGGCTGCCTCTGCTGCTTAGCCAAAGGCCTGAGCCTAAGCACAGGGCCACAAACTGTCACAGTAAGAGAAGGCCCTTACACTGGCAGACAGTGGTTTTGATTCTTTTTTTTATACCTCTATCACTAGCCAAGTGATAAGAATACACCTAAATTCTTAGAGTATAGGCCTTTACAGACAGGCCTGAATATCTATATCCTAACATAAAGGAATGCTTAAAATCAAATTTACTTGCAGGTAATTGTTGCTTGCTTACTACTTACATTTCACTCAGCTGAAACAATAATAACAATTCTAATTTTCATAGATTCCAAGGCGAAATGGGACCACTGTGATCATCTAATCTGACCTCCTGTATAACACAGGCCGTATAACTTCCCAAAATAATTCCTAGAGCATAGCTTTTAGAAAAACGTCCAGTCTTGGTTTTAAAAATATCACTAGCCTTGGTAAATTGGATGCGCTAGCAATTAATATTGGAATACTTGGGATGGAAATACTCCAGAGAAATATCTATATTAACCCCCTAAAGTAATTCAGTTAATACTGGGCTTTTAAAAAACAGAGGATTGGCTTCATAGTTGTGTTTTGGACCCTTTATGTTGCCTGCAGAGTACAAGAGGGCCAGAAAGCAGCTAGATCCGCTCAGTTGAGAACTCCTTAGCTGATGCATCCAGCCTCTCCACACTCAGTTATGACACAGGGGACATGGAGAGGAGCATAGGTGGGGCATTCACAGTATCAGTACAGCTCTACCCTGAAAATCAGGGCACCATAACCAGTTCCCTGGCAGCCCCACAACATGACAACAGTTAGACTACGGGGGGGGGCTGAAATTGCAGCCTATCATGGTGACCAAAACTGTTCCAACTGATCTCCTTGTACTCCCCTGTTAGGGGGCTTATTCCTTCACCCACTCACTTCCCTGGTCCTTCTCGCATAAACAGAGAACAACAATACTCGAAGTCCAAAGGTGCAAACAATTCGATGTTTATTGGGGTGAACTTCCAGCAAGCATGATTCCAGTTTCCTTCCTTAGTATCCTCCTTCCCAGCTCTGACACCACAGAGCCTTACACCTGTGTCCCTGTTCCCATTCCTGCCCTTAGCCAAACATGATTCCAGTTTCCCCAGCCCCATTCCCTGTTCCCATTTCCCCTTTTAGCAAAACATGATTCCAGTTTCCTTACCCCCATTCCCTGTTTCCATTTCCCCCACCCGCATGCCCGCCCCCACCCCTCTACTTCCTGATTGACTGCAGACTATATAATAAAACTTGACTTCTGCTTAGCTATACCTTAACCAATCATGTTCCTGAAATTTAACTAACCAATCCTAACATAAAAAGAAAAGGAGTACTTGTGGCACCTTAGAGACTAACCAATTTATTTGAGCATGAGCTTTCGTATTACCAGCAGGACAGTGGGGTGGGAGGAGGTATTGTTTCATATTCTCTGTGTGTATATAAAGTCTGCTGCAGTTTCCACGGTATGCATCCGATGAAGTGAGCTGTAGCTCACGAAAGCTCATGCTCAAATAAATTGGTTAGTCTCTAAGGTGCCACAAGTACTCCTTTTCTTTTTGCGAATACAGACTAACACGGCTGTTACTCTGAAACCAATCCTAACATATTGTAACATGATTATGTACCCAATTATATCCCACCACCTTAATTAGTTTACACCCAGCAAAATTAATTATACAGCAGACAGAAACAATCACAGAACCAGACAGAGATTATACAGACAAACAATAGCAAAGTGGGAACTATAATGACAAAACAATACAGAAGTGAGGATTTTCACATCCCAGCTATTGATAAGTGAGTTCTTGCCAGACAGGATGCTATCAAACTAAGTTTCCTTTTACATTTTCTAGGCACTTCCCTTTCTCTGGAGGTGATAGGAACTATCAGGACAGGATTGTATTCCTAACAGCCCAATAGCACCTTATTTCAATGTGATTAGTTTGGAATGTGAGGATGTGACCGTTTGCTTCCCAGCTTATGGCTGCCTCTGTTGCTTAGCCAAAGGCCTTAGCCTAAGAACAGGGCCTCAGACTGTCACAGTAAGAGAAGGCCCTTACACCGGCAGACAGTGATTTTGATTCTCTTTTGTACCTCTATAACTAGCCAAGTGATAAGAATACACCTAAATTCTTAGAGTATAGGCCTTTACAGACAGGCCTGAATATCTATATCCTAACATCCCCTCTCAATCTCTCTATATCCATCTGTTGTGTCTTGTATTATATTAGTCCCTGCCACAAAGAGATTACATCAATCTTTTTGTTCTGTTTTTGTGTAGCACCTCACATTGGGGTCTGGCTCCATGCCTGGGACGCCTCAGTGCTATGGTAATACAAATAATCAAGATGCTGTCTAGTTGCTGACCAAGAGATAGTGTATCATGATACAAGTCCTGATCATGCAAAAACTTTACAGTAACTTTATGAATGTAGCTATTCCTATTGAACTCAATGGAACTGTGCATGTGTAGATTTGGGGCCATATTTAGAACATTATCATGTAAACCACCAACATTTATGAAGAGTTAAACACTATATCTAGTTATAAAGCTGATTCATTAGGAGTAGGGTATGGATCAAAGGGGTGGCTTCAGATCTTCCCTCCCTCTTAAGAAATTACATAAGGTCTGAAAGATTTGTAAGGAATAATTATTAAAAGCTCCTAACCTAACGATAGCATAGCCAATTTCATTTTTTCCTTTCTTAACCGAGTATGTTAATTGTCACTTCTAAGGAATGTTAAGTGATTGCTTAAAGCACCCTATAAAGTGAATGAGACATTAAGTAGTTTGTACAAATAACCACTCCAGTCCTCATGCATCATGGTGCTAATGGGGCAGGTTCATGCTGTGGAACGCCGATTCTGGGCTCGGGAAAGAAGCACAGACTGGTGGGACCACATAATGTTGCAGGTCTGGGACGATTCCCAGTGGCTGCGAAACTTTCGCATGCGTAAGGGCACTTTCATGGAACTTTGTGACTTGCTTTCCCTTGCCCTGACGCTCATGAATACCAAGATGAGAGCAGCCCTCACAGTTGAGAAGCGAGTGGCGATAGCCCTGTGGAAGCTTGCAACGCCAGACAGCTACCGGTCAGTTGGGAATCAATTTGGAGTGGGCAAATCTACTGTTGGGGCTGCTGTGATGCAAGTAGCCCACGCAATCAAAGATCTGCTGATATCAAGGGTAGTGACCCTGGGAAATGTGCAGGTCATAGTGGATGGCTTTGCTGCAATGGGATTCCCTAACTGTGGTGGGGCCATAGACGGAACCCATATCCCTATCTTGGCACCGGAGCACCAAGCCGCCGAGTACATAAACCGCAAGGGGTACTTTTCAATAGTGCTGCAAGCTCTGGTGGATCACAAGGGACGTTTCACCAACATCAACGTGGGATGGCCCTGGAAAGGTACATGACGCTCGCATCTTCAGGAACTCTGGTCTGTTTCAAAAGCTGCAGGAAGGGACTTTATTCCCAGACCAGAAAATAACTGTTGGGGATGTTGAAATGCCTATGTGTATCCTTGGGGACCCAGCCTACCCCTTAATGCCATGGCTCATGAAGCCGTACACAGGCAGCCTGGACAGTAGTCAGGAGCTGTTCAACTACAGGCTGAGCAAGTGCAGAATGGTGGTAGAATGTGCATTTGGACGTTTAAAGGCGCGCTGGCGCAGTTTACTGACTCGCTTAGACCTCAGCGAAACCAATATTCCCACTGTTATTACTGCTTGCTGTGTGCTCTACAATATCTGTGAGAGTAAGGGGGAGACGTTTATGGCGGGGTGGGAGGTTGAGGCAAATCGCTGGCTGCTGGTTACGCGCAGCCAGACACCAGGGCGGTTAGAAGAGCACAGGAGAGCGCCGTACGCATCAGAGAAGCTTTGAAACCAGTTTCATGACTGGCCAGCCTACGGTGTGAAAGTGCTGTTTGTTTCTCCTTGATGAAACCCCCCGCCCCTTGGTTCACTCTACTTCCCTGTAAGCTAACCACCCTCCCCTCCTCCCTTCAATAACCGCTTGCAGAGGCAATAAAGTCATTGTTGCTTCACATTCATGCATTTTTTATTCATTCATCACACAAATAGGGGGATGACTACCAAGGTAGTCCAGGAGGGGTGGTGGAGGAGGGAAGGAAAATGCCACACAGCACTTTAAAAGTTTACAACTTTAAAATTTATTGAATGCCAGCCTTCTTTTTTTGGGGCAATACTCTGTGGCGGAGTGGCTGGTTGGCCAGTGGCCCCCCCACTGCGTTCTTGGGCGTCTGGGTGTGGAGGCTATGGAACTTGGGGAGGAGGGCGGTTGGTTACACAGGGGCTGTAGTGGCAGTCTGTGCTCCAGCTGCCTTTGCTGCAGCTCAACCATACACTGAAGCATACTGGTTTGGTCCTCCAACAGCCTCAGCATTGAATCCTGCCTCCTCTCATCACGCTGCTGCCACATTTGAGCTTCAGCCCTGTCTTCAGCCCGCCACTTACTCTCTTCAGCCCGCCACCTCTCCTCCCGGTCATTTTGTGCTTTCCTGTACTCTGACATTATTTGCCTCCACGCATTCGTCTGTGCTCTGTCAGTGTGGGAGGACAGCATGAGCTTGGAGAACATTTCATCTCGAGTGCGTTTTTTTTCTTTCTAAGCTTCACTAGCCTCTGGGAAGGAGAAGATCCTGTGATCATTGAAACACATGCAGCTGGTGGAGAAAAAAAAAGGGACAGCGGTATTTAAAAAGACACATTTTATAAAACAGTGGCTACACTTTTTCAGGGTAAACATTGCTGTTAACATTACATACACAGCACATGTGCTTTCGTTAGAAGGTCGCATTTTGCCTCCCCCCACCGCGTAGCTACTCCCTCAACCCTCCTCCCTCCCTGTGGCTAACAGCGGGGAACATTTCTGTTTAGCCACAGGCAAACAGCCCAGCAGGAATGGGCTCCTCTGAGTGTCCCCTGAAGAAAAGCACTCTATTTCAACCAGGTGACCATGAATTAGATCTCACTCTCCTGAGGATAACACAGAGAGATAAAGAACGGATGTTGTTTGAACGCCAGCAAGCATACACTGCAATGCTCTGTTGTACAATGATTCCCGAGTACGTGTTACTGGCCTGGAGTGGTAAAGTGTCCTACCATGAAGGACGCAATAAGGCTGCCCTCCCCACAAACCTTTTGCAAAGGCTTTGGGAGTACATCCAGGAGAGCCGCGAATGCCAGGGCAAAGTAATCCTTTCACATGCTTGCTTTTAAACCATGTATAGTATTTTAAAAGGTACACTCACCGGAGGTTCCTTCTCCACCTGCTGGGTCCAGGAGGCAGCCTTGGGTGGGTTCGGGGGGTACTGGCTCCAGGTCCAGGGTGAGAAACAGTTCCTGGCTGTCGGGAAAACCGGTTTCTCCGCTTGCTTGCTTGCTGTGAGCTATCTACAACCTCCTCCTCATCATCATCTTCTTCGTCCCCAAAACCTGCTTCCGTATTGCCTCCATCTCCATTGAAGGAGTCAAACAACACGGCGGGGGTAGTGGTGGCTGAACCCCCTAAAATGGCATGCAGCTCATCATAGAAGCGGCATGTTTGGGGCTCTGACCCGGAGCGGCCATTCGCCTCTCTGGTTTTCTGGTAGGCTTGCCTCAGCTCCTTCAGCTTCACGCGGCACTGCTTCGGTCCATTATGGCCTCTGTCCTTCATGCCCTGGGAGATTTTGACAAAGGTTTTGGCATTTCGAAAACTGGAACGGAGTTCTGATAGCACGGATTCCTCTCCCCATACAGCGATCAGATCCCGTACCTCCCATTCGGTCCATGCTGGAGCTCTTTTGCGATTCTGGGACTCCATCATGGTCACCTCTGCTGATGAGCTCTGCATGGTCACCTGCAGCTTGCCACGCTGGCCAAACAGGAAATGAGATTCAAAAGTTCGCGGTTCTTTTCCTGTCTACCTGGCCAGTGCATCAGAGTTGAGAGTGCTATCCAGAGCGGTCACAATGGAGCACTCTGGGATAGCTCCTGGAGGCCAATACCATCGAATTGTGTCCACAGTACCCCAAATTTGAGCCGGCAAGGCCGATTTAAGCGCTAATCCACTTGTCAGGGGTGGAGTAAGGAAATCAATTTTAAGAGCCCTTTAAGTCGAAATAAAGGGCTTCATTGTGTGGACGGGTGCAGGTTTACATCGATTTAATGCTGCTAAATTCGACCTAAAGTCCTAGTGTAGACCAGGGCTATGATTAAACAAAATAAGTCAATGCAGTTATTTCACTATTATTATCATACTGCTCATTTAGTATTCACTCGTTGCATTTACTGACACTCAGTACTACTTTAAAAGTGAAATTGTAAAAGGAAGATCTGCCTATTTCAGCTATTTATTTTTTTATCACAACTGCATCTAAAACGATAGTACCATAGAGTAACAACTATATTTTTTGCTCAAACATGAGAATTCAAGAATAGTCCAGAAGGAAGACAGGCAGTCTTTAAGAAAGAAGCATGAAATAAAACGTTTACCAACCTGAAGATCCTGCATGTTCAGACATGTTCCTTTCATCATCTTCAATGCAGCTTCCTCCTGAGAAGGAACACTTCTCATATTTTTGTTTCATTCGGGAAACCAGGCCTTGCATTTCTTTGTTGTACTCTTTGCATTGTGCACACATGCCTGTCTTACCCACAGGTAGAGGAACTTCATTAAAATATTCCCAACTGAGTCTCTTTTATGGCCTGCTGCCATTATAGGTTTTCCCTTCTAGTGAGAGACTGGTATGGTAGATCTCAAATCAATGAAGGCTACACTCAGAAAGACCTCAAGACTTCTGGAATATGCTGCTCAGTTTCACTTTTGTTTCTACTGCCTGTTCCTCCCTTCTCGCATTTATCTCCAGACTTCTTCTCCATGTCCAGATCTATTCCCCCAACAATCTTCTATTCATCGAACTTTTTGAAACTTTGCACTTTTAGAGAGAGGTAGGGGATTGACTTTGTGTACACAAATTTGCAGAGGGACAATAGGATTGAGGTCTGTTATTTCTCACCTCTGTATATTATGTATTTATTTATTTATTATAAAACATTTTTGCTGTTAAAAAGTATGTTATCTCTGGCGACACAAATCCAGTTTGAGAACTGCAAAACTAAGCACCTCGGATGGTATCTTCTAGACTGAGCGCGAAGTCCCATTGGGTGGATAGAAAGATTAGCCTAAATAATCTAAACAGAAGCCCCTGAAATCCCATAAGATTGGGTCCCTAATCCATGAACTATTGGAACTCATTTACAAAACTTTTCTTTAACATTACATGAATATGTGGTCTCATACTATAGAATTAGAATTTATAATCTCTATTCCATGATGAGATATCTTTGAGCTATAATGTATTGTAATTAAAACTATCTTTAGATAGGTTTTTTCCTCAAAAAGTGTTTTATCAAAAAAATCCAATTTAAATAAAAAAAATCTGATTTTCTTGATTTTTTTTTAAATTGATTTTTATCCACCCTGATACGTGGCATGGAGCGATTGGATTAGACTAAGTAGCTGGAGGTTGATAATGACAACTGCAGAATTAAACTGATTAAACCTACTCCTTTTGTAGTAGACTCCTTAAAATTGTAGGCAATTCTTCCAGACTTAGGACATAGTGATAAATCTCTACCACTCAGGGTGGATAAAAATAATTTAGTTAAAAACAATTTTAACAAAAACAAACCTGATTTTAAAAAACTTGAATGTTTAACTAAATTCAAAACTTCATATGCTTGTTTTGTTAAAATATTATATGTTTGCTGTTGAAGAACAGAATACATAACATTGTTGTTTTAGTTAAATAAAACAATTTAAATGTCGGTCTGGTGATGTTCTCCTCCTAATACAGCACAGCAAGAAAATCCTCCAAATATTAATGATTAACCTGTTGAATTGGAGATATTTCACCTCCCAATGACTAGTCAATGACTGATTAGACTAAGTAGCTGGAGGTTGATAATGACAACTGCAGAATTAAACTGATTAAACCTACTCCTTTTGTAGTAGACTCCTTAAAATTGTAGGCAATTCTTCCAGACTTAGGACATAGTGATAAATCTCTACCACTCAGGGTGGATAAAAATAATTTAGTTAAAAACAATTTTAACAAAAACAAACCTGATTTTAAAAAACTTGAATGTTTAACTAAATTCAAAACTTCATATGCTTGTTTTGTTAAAATATTATATGTTTGCTGTTGAAGAACAGAATACATAACATTGTTGTTTTAGTTAAATAAAACAATTTAAATGTCGGTCTGGTGATGTTCTCCTCCTAATACAGCACAGCAAGAAAATCCTCCAAATATTAATGATTAACCTGTTGAATTGGAGATATTTCACCTCCCAATGACTAGTCAATGACTGATTAGACTAAGTAGCTGGAGGTTGATAATGACAACTGCAGAATTAAACTGATTAAACCTACTCCTTTTGTAGTAGACTCCTTAAAATTGTAGGCAATTCTTCCAGACTTAGGACATAGTGATAAATCTCTACCACTCAGGGTGGATAAAAATAATTTAGTTAAAAACAATTTTAACAAAAACAAACCTGATTTTAAAAAACTTGAATGTTTAACTAAATTCAAAACTTCATATGCTTGTTTTGTTAAAATATTATATGTTTGCTGTTGAAGAACAGAATACATAACATTGTTGTTTTAGTTAAATAAAACAATTTAAATGTCGGTCTGGTGATGTTCTCCTCCTAATACAGCACAGCAAGAAAATCCTCCAAATATTAATGATTAACCTGTTGAATTGGAGATATTTCACCTCCCAATGACTAGTCGATGACTGATTAGACTAAGTAGCTGGAGGTTGATAATGACAACTGCAGAATTAAACTGATTAAACCTACTCCTTTTGTAGTAGACTCCTTAAAATTGTAGGCAATTCTTCCAGACTTAGGACATAGTGATAAATCTCTACCACTCAGGGTGGATAAAAATAATTTAGTTAAAAACAATTTTAACAAAAACAAACCTGATTTTAAAAAACTTGAATGTTTAACTAAATTCAAAACTTCATATGCTTGTTTTGTTAAAATATTATATGTTTGCTGTTGAAGAACAGAATACATAACATTGTTGTTTTAGTTAAATAAAACAATTTAAATGTCGGTCTGGTGATGTTCTCCTCCTAATACAGCACAGCAAGAAAATCCTCCAAATATTAATGATTAACCTGTTGAATTGGAGATATTTCACCTCCCAATGACTTCATAAATATCAGCCTCAGTTACCTTTGGTAAATGAAATAACCAAACAATCATTCATTTTCTGATATAGCTGTAAAACTAATCTGAAAAGTTTTCAAAATAAATCACTTTTAAAATGTACAGTGTGTACTTTCTAAAAATGAAATCTTCATCTATCTCTGACTTGTGAAGAATATGTATCAAGGTTATAACAACCAACAAGAATGCATTTTGATGTAGAAATCCAAATTGAGTCAATTTGATTTAAATCAAATCCTCCCTGCTACCACTGCTCTACACGAGCACTTCCACAAGGTGCTAGCACTGTCGAGCTGCAGTGATGTGAGATCAACTGTGGCTAGAGTTCCTAAAGCTCAATATAAACACAATCAGGTATAAATAGTTTGCCAAGGCAAATTGCCTAGGATTTTTCCAGTTTCTTCCTACATCAAGCTTTTGCCAACTCCTTCAAAGAAGAAGAAAACTGAATAATCCTTGCCAGTTGCCTTGTGCAAACTTTTTGCACAGGGAGCCTGTTGAAAGGTAGAAAAGGTCGAGGAGGAGGAAAAAAAGAGTGTCATAGAAGACAAGCAGGAGGGGGATGTGTGGGGGGGAAAAACCCTAAATGAAAGAGTAGAGAAAAATTATGCCAGATGATTTATTTTGTGCATTTGACAGTCTTTTCTGTGTAGTCAGTTTTAATGTTTCCCCTTAATAGTTACTTAGACCCTGATCCTGCCATTGGATCTGGTAATATGAACACAAGTCAGATCCCATTTCACCAGGATGTGAGAGTCAGATCCCAATTCACACAGCAAGAAGGGGAAGAAAAATATTTTTAAAACAGGAAAATATGTTTGTAAAACAAGGACCCAGGAACAGATGTAGTACCTCAAAACACTTAACTCATTTTTTAAAATGGTCTTGTTTTGAAGTTGACGGCGTCCCTTTTGAGGGTGTAGTAGCTTGAAAGCTGACAAATCTTTTACAATACTACCAAAATAAGCCTGGGTCTTTTTCCAGGTTTGGAGATGATTAAGCCTCATGATTTGTTTTCTTTCTCACCAGCAGTCTGAATTGGTATATCTAAATTCTGATGAGAGTTGATATAGATCCTTACCTAGAGGAAGGTACTATTGTTCCAACCTGTCAGTCCTTCCTCATGCTGTTTCTTGCAGCTGCTCTAAAATCCACCCACTTCACTTTCATCATCCCAATGTATCCATCTTGTAATGGAATCTGTGCACTTTCTGTGGTACATTATCTACTTCGTATGATGTTGGGCCACCCACTTGCCCTTGTGTTATACCAAGAAAATAAAAACCAGCAGGATCTTATTAAACTGGATATGGCAATATGCCGTATTTATTGCTAATACAAAAAGAATCAGAGTAAGCAATCACTTATAGCTATAACATCTCATTCACACACACACACACCATGAGTTGGTTGAGTTCAGGATCCTGAAACAGGGAAGAAAGGTAAGCAGAAGGATACGGACCCTGGACTTCAGGAAAGCAGACTTCGACTCCCTCAGGGAACAGATGGGTAGGATCCCCTGGGGGACTAACATGAAGGGGAAAGGAGTCCAGGAGAGCTGGCTGTATTTCAAGAAATCCCTGTTGAGGTTACACGGACAAACCATCCCGATGTGTCGAAAGAATAGTAAATATGGCAGGCGACCAGCTTGGCTTAACAGTGAAATCCTAGCGGATCTTAAGCATAAAAAAGAAGCTTACAAGAAGTGGAAGGTTGGACATATGACCAGGGAAGAGTATAAAAATATTGCTCAGGCATGTAGGAATGAAATTAGGAGGGCCAAATCGCACCTGGAGCTGCAGCTACCGAGAGATGTTAAGAGTAACAAGAAGGGTTTCTTCAGGTATGTTGGCAACAAGAAGAAAGCCAAGGAAAGTGTGGGCCCCTTAATGAACGAGGGAGGCAACCTAGTGACAGAGGATGTGGAAAAAGCTAATGTACTCAATGCTTTTTTTGCCTCTGTCTTCACGAACAAAGTCAACTCCCAGACTGCTGCGCTGGGCATCACAACATGGGGAATAGATGGCCAGCCCTCTGTGGAGAAAGAGGTGGTTAGGGACTATTTAGAAAAGCTGGACGTGCACAAGTCCATGGGGCTGGACGAGTTGCATCCGAGAGTGCTAAAGGAACTGGCGGCTGTGATTGCAGAGCCATTGGCCGTTATCTTTGAAAACTCGTGGCGAACGGGGGAAGTCCCGGATGACTAGAAAAAGGCTAATGTAGTGCCAATCTTTAAAAAAGGGAAGAAAGAGGATCCTGCGAACTACAGGCCAGTGAGCCTCACTTCAGTCCCCGGAAAAATCATGGAGCAGGTCCTCAAAGAATCAATCCTGAAGCACTTACATGAGAGGAAAGTGATCAGAAACAGTCAGCATGGATTCACCAAGGGAAGGTCATGCCTGACTAATCTAATCGCCTTCTATGATGAGATTACTGGTTCTGTGGATGAAGGGAAAGCAGTGGATGTCTTGTATCTTGACTTTAGCAAAGCTTTTGACACGGTCTCCCACAGTATTCTTGTCAGCAAATTAAAGAAGTATGGGCTGGATGATTGCACTGTAAGGTGGGTAGAAAGTTGGCTAGATTGTCGGGCTCAACGGGTAGTGATCAATGGCTCCATGTCTAGTTGGCAGCCGGTGTCAAGTGGAGTGCCCCAGGGGTCGGTCCTAGGGCCGGTTTTGTTCAATATCTTCATAAATGATCCGGAGGATGGTGTGGATTGCACTCTCAGCAAATTTGCGGATGATACTAAACTAGGAGGAGTGGTCGATACGCTGGAGGGCAGGGATAGGATACAGAGGGACCTAGACAAATTGGAGGATTGGGCCAAAAGAAATCTGAAAAAAGAAATCTGATGAGATTCAATAAGAATAAGTGCAGGGTCCTGCACTTAGGACGGAAGAACCCAATGCACAGCTACAGACTAGGGACCGAATGGCTAGGCAGCAGTTCTGCGGAAAAGGACCTAGGGGTGACAGTGGACGAGAAGCTGGATATGAGTCAACAGTGTGCCCTTGTTGCCAAGAAGGCCAATGGCAGTTTGGGATGTATAAGTAGGGGCATAGCGAGCAGATCGAGGGACGTAATCATCCCCCTCTATTCGACATTGGTGAGGCCTCATCTGGAGTACTGTGTCCAGTTTTGGGCCCCACATTACAAGAAGGATGTGGATAAATTGGAGAGAGTCCAGTGAAGGGCAACAAAAATGATTGGGGGCTGGAACAAATGACTTATGAGGAGAGGCTGAGGGAACTGGGATTGTTTAGTCTGCGGAAGAGAAGAATGAGGGGGGATTTGATAGTTGCTTTCAACTACCTGAGAGGTGGTTCCAGAGAGGATGGTTCTAGACTATTCTCAGTGGTGGAAGAGGACAGGACAAGGAGTAATGGTCTCAAGTTGCAGTGGGGGAGGTTTAGGTTGGATATTAGGAAAAACTTTTTCACTAGGAGGGTGGTGAAACACTGGAATGCGTTGCCTAGGGAGGTGGTGGAATCTCCTTCCTTAGAAGTTTTTAAGGTCAGGCTTGACAAAGCCCTGGCTGGGATGATTTAATTGGGGATGGGTCCTGCTTTTGAGCAGGGGGTTGGACTAGATGACCTCCTGAGGTCCCTTCCAACCCTGATATTCTACACATACACCCACAAGTTCTGCAAGGTTGTTATAGTTACCAGCCTAGAAGTTGCTTGTGCCAGGTGTCTGGCAAGGTGGCCTGGACACGAGGGTGGAGCAGGGTCTTGTCAGATGCGCATCCGATGCTCTTGGAGGTTGGTTTGCAGAATCAGACCAAAGTCCTCAATCTTCAGGGTCTGTTTTTATAGGGACTTATCCTCATACAAGTTTATAGGCGACAGGTTTCCGAGTGGTAGCCATGTTAGTCTGTATCAGCAAAAACAACAAGGAATCCTTGTGGCACTTTGGAGACTAACAAATGTATTTGGGCATAAGCTTTTGTGGGCTAAATCCACTACAGTAGATGCATGGAGTGGAACATACAGTAGGGAGGTATAAATACACAGCATTTGAAAAGATGGGAGTTGCCTTACCAAGTGGGGGGGGTCAGTGCTAACAAGCCAATTCAGTTTAAGTTGGAAGTAGGCAATTCTCAACCAGTTGACAAGAAGGAGTGGAAGTCACTTTTGTTGTGTTAATGAGGCCAGTGTAAACAAGTTGGCCTATTTCAGACAATTGATAGGAAGGTGTGAGTATTTAGCAAGGGGAAATTAGATTTTTTTAAAACAACAGGGAGTACTTGTGGCACGTTAGAGACTAACATATTGATTTAGTTTCTGTAGTGCCCCATGCACTCCCAGTCTCTATTCAGGCCTAATTTGATGGTGTCCAGTTTGCAAATTAGTTCCAGTTCTGCAGTTTCTCGATGGAGACTGTTTCTGAAGTTTTTTTGTTGAAGAACTGCCACTTTTAAGTCTGTTATTGAGTGACCAGGGAGATGGAAGTGTTCTCCTACTGGTTTTTGAATGTTATAATTCCTGATGTCAGATTTGTGTCCATTTATTCTTTTGCGTAGAAACTGTCCGGTTTGGCCAATGTACATGGCAGAGGGGCATTGCTGGCACATGATGGCATATATCACGTTGGTTAGATGTGCAGGTGAATGAGCCCCTGATGGTGTGGCTGATGTGGTTAGGTCCTATGATGGTGTCCCTTGAATAGATATGCAGACATAGTTGGCACCAGGGTTTGTTGCAGGATTTGTTTCCTGGGTTAGTGTTTTTGTTGTGTGGTGTGTAGGGTTTGCTTCATCATGCTGTTCTCATGTTTGAAGTGATAATCACGCAGATGGCACAGCAATGACAAAATGATGGTATGTTGTTATCTTGTACTTCAGCCCTCCTGTCCTTGGGGCAAGTATGCCCTCAGGGTTATCGGGCTATCTCGTCCACTGCATTCTTCAGCCAAACGGTCTTATTTTAAGGCTGGCACCTGAACCTTTAATCTTTCATTCCTCATTCAATCCTACATACAACTATACTCACACTCCAATGTATATCCTGTCACATCTGTATTTTATCACCTACCCATCCTTAACACAACCGCTCTAAAATCAGTGGGACATGGCAGACTTCAATAAGTCTATTCATCCCACTTGTTATATCAAAAAGAAAACGAACAAGATAAGCATGCAAGAGTGGGGAGATTTCACAAATCTTACTCCAGAGTTCAGGAAAACAAAGTTGTACCAGCCATAAAGGTCAGCTGTTATCTTGTTACTTTTAGAACAAACTCTTTGTCTCTGAATGTGTTTCTGCAATTAACACTGAGGTTGTAAAACTGGCAGACAATTACAGTCAACACAAGCTCAGTAGGGTACCTGAGAAACATATGGGTTTCAGAGTAACAGCCGTGTTAGTCTGTATTCGCAAAAATAAAAGGAGTACTTGTGGCACCTTAGAGACTAACCAATTTATTTGAGCATAAGCTTTCGTGAGCTACAGCTCACTTCATCGGATGCTGTAGCTCACGAAAGCTTATGCTCAAATAAATTGGTTAGTCTCTAGGGTGCCACAAGTACTCCTTTTATTTTTGCGAAACATATTTCTTTCTAATGATCAGGCCAAATTCTGGGGTCTGCTGTGGAGTCACTCTTTCTTACATTTCCCATATTAGAAAGATATCAGTCATCAATCTAGTCCAACACTGGCTCCACACACACCACTCTCATTAATTTGATTTCACCATTGTTGGCAACAATAGGTTTGAATTCATTTTTGTAGTCAGCACTCTGATCTCATAAGGATGGGTGTGATAATTTTAAAATAGGAGTTCTGCACATGAAGTGAGGCCTGGTGATGTTCCTTTGTAGATTAATCTACTTATATTACTATAAATGTTTCTCTGTCCGTTTCCTACAATAATTTAGTCTCTTTTGTAGTATTTTGAAGATGAATACTAATTCAAGTGCTTTCTTTTTTCAGATGGTATCTTGAGAAATTTGAAGACTACCCAAAGTCCAGGAAGATTGTGATTCCATTTGTGTTCTGAGGTGTGCATCATGGAGCTGGCTGACTTTGAATGATGGTGGCTGCTCTTCTGAAAATATTCAGTTCACAAACAACTCCCAACAAGTTAGCCTAAAGGTTTTCTTTGAACATTTTCAGTGCCACTTATGTTCGTTTCCTAACATATAAAATACAACTGATGGATAAGGTGATAGTGACAGAAGAATCAGCCATCCTGTTCCTATCTGGAGCACAGTGTAATAAATGCCTTAGTAAGATCATATCTTCATCATTGGAACTACAGTGGTGCCTGTACTGCTTCTTATCCTGCCTCTACCTGTTGCTGTTTCTGCCTCAGCCAGGCACAACACCTCCAAGATTTCATATATTGCACCATAGCAGTGGGTGCTTGTGTACTATCTACCCCCACACAAACACTGGATTGACTTGCCTTACCCCCCATGGATAATCTAGTGCTAGTAGTGTCACTACATGTAGTCTTTGTACTCAGTATTATACCCAGCCACTGAGCAAGGAGTAGTGGTGAGAGGTACCCTCAGCCCCCACACATCTTTGCAGGCACAAACAATAGAACACTGTTAACACGACATGCACTACTTATGACAGTAGCAGTAACTTTGGCAAATAATGGGTTAAGATTTACGTCTTCCTCCAGATTGATAACTCTCTCAAGTACTTTTCAGGGGCTGTCTTCTCACCCACTTCCATGACATGTTCTGCTTTCCTTATTTTTTCCATTGTACTCTTTGTTCCACTTTTTATTTTTCATACAAGAATGTTAGTGTTACTGGTAAACGATTTGCCTTAATTGCTTACTAGTCCCCTAATGACTTCTGCAGTTTACATTTCGTATCTATTTCTGGTTTAGGGTCTTTGACACTTTTAGCAGTTTTAGGTAGCACTGTTTTCTGGCTTGCCTAAAATAACAAACTTCACGAGAACTATAGAGAATTTTTCAAAAATGTTTTTACTTCTTTGTGATAAGTGCATGGATGACAGCTGTTTTCCAAAGAGAACTGGATTTTTTAATACTTGTTTTTACCTTAATAATGTCAAGTCTGTTCTCCTTTCCTAGATTTGCTAAAGGACTTCGGTGAGCTCACAGTAAACTCATGAGAGTTCTAGTACCTTAACTGAAAGAGTGGGGCTGTTGAATCTTAAACAGAGACTTAATTGCTGGGTTTTAAACAGAGACTAAAAGTAAATGGAGTTTTAAATAGTGATTTAAAAATCCCTTCTCTTCCCAGTTGCTCAGCTTTCAGTCCCCTTTCTCTTGTGATATCTACTCTAAAAGACTATGGTAACTGGAGAAGTAGGAATAAGTCCTGAATCTTTAATGTAAAAAACAAGCAGAAAGTGTTTTAACAATTTTGTTTTCCTTTATTTAAATCCTAAGGAAAGACACAAGCCCAGTTTCTCTTTTTTGGGTGAGGTCAGGGGAGGAGGGTTGTTTTTGTTTCCTTGGGAGGTTACCTTTTAAATAGTCTCAGGATGCCTGGACACTTTTTAGATCTCAAGTGCTGCTTTGAAGACAAACAAGGCTTAGGTGTATTGCCTTCTTTAAAGCCTTATCTTAATTCCAACATCATTTGAGGCTACCTACCTCCCAGTTCAGACCAACAAGGCAGACTTTGCCTACTCACACTGAAATTAACCTCCTCACCATCTCCTTCCCTCTAAAGCAGCTTTGCTGTACTGTTCGTCATTTTTGGATTTTGGCAGGTGGTTAACAAAAACTTATTAAAATTCTGTTTCCTTCCCAGTAGGTGCTGTGTTTGACAGATTCAACCAGAGAGTGGAGAAGCATATTGAAGGAACAAAACAGTTTTTTAAAAAGTTTGGTTCCTTTGTCTGGGGATCATTTTCTAAGATTTAATGCCTCATATGACTTCTGTGTATTTAACTGGGAGTGCAAAGTGATCAGAAAGTATGATACCACTGGTTCTTCTTACAGTGTGTACAGATGTGTATTCCACACTGGTGTGTTGGTGTCTTGCACACTGCAAGCTGGAGTCTTTTTTGCCACACCTGTACCTTCTCATGGCCCTTCCTGAGGCTACATAAGGGTGCCAGCACCCTGACTCCACTCAGTTCCTTCTTACCACCTGCAACTTGAGTTGGAGCTCCCTCTGTTGGATTCGCCTCACAATTTCCCTGCTGCATCACAGTTTGTGACTCAGTCTCCAGTAGTGTAAATAGTTACTTGCAGTTATCACCAATAGTTCGAGTTAATTAGTTTCAGTGTGGTAGCCGTGTTAGTCTGTATCAGCAAAAACAATGAGGAGTCCTTGTGGCACCTTAGAAACTAACAAATTTATTTGAGCATAAGCTTTCGTGGGCTAGAACCTACTTCATCAGATGTGGTGTATGAAGTGGGTTCTAGCCCATGAAAGCGTATGCTCAAATAAATTTGTTAATCTCTAAGGTGCCACAGGAACTCAGTGTTGTTTTTTTAGTTTAGTAGTGTATTTAGTTGTATATTTAGTTTTTGGTGTGTGGCCCTGAATGTTATGCACCATTCAGTGGACTTCAAGCATTGCCGGTCATGTGAGGTCTCTGTTCCTAACACTAACCCACACATGCGCTTCTTGGTGTTCCTTGGCAAGGGGCACATAAAGGCAAAGTGCAATAGCTGTTGTTCCTATAAGGAAAGGACACAGATTGCAAGAGACCATCTTTTAAAGCAACATCTGCTAGAACAGGTTGTGAGACTGCCTCAGCACTGGGCTCCTCCTTCCAACCGCTCAATTAACTCTCTCTAGACATTGCCTTCAGGAGGATCCTCTACCTCTGCAGGAGTTGGGGACAGTCCCAACAGTCTGATCAGTCACAGAGGCCGGAAAGGGATTGTTCATCATTCCTGCATGTCCCTCAAATGAGGATGCATAAAATGGACTGACGCTGCCAGAAATCAAGGAAGGATTAATCCTCCTTTTCATCTAGAGCAGGGGATCACTGTCAGCAAAACTCTGGTACCTAGAGGTGCCAACTGTTGTCTCCCCAGTACCGAGATGGGAGGATCCTGGTGCTGTACTGTTGATTCTGGAACCATCTACAGCAGGGACTGGCAAACTTTTTGGCCCGAGGGCCACATCGGGTTTCCAGAATTGTATGGAGGGCTGGTTAGGGGAGCCTGTGTCTCCTATCCAACTCTCACCCCCGCTTCTCGCCCTCGGAACTCCTGCCCCATCCAACCCCCCCCTGTCCCCTGATGCCTCCCCCCCCCCCAAGTTCTCCTACCCCACCCCTGACTCCCCCTGCAACCTCCCTTCTCATTCCTGACTTGCCCCCCGGACACCTACCCCGTCCAACCACCCCTTCTCCCTGTCCCATGACCACCCCCAGAACCCCTGCCCCTGACTGCCCCCACCACCCCATCCATCCCCTCCTCTCCTTCCTGACTGTGCCCCTGGGACACCTGCCCCATACAACCCCCCTGTTCCCCACTCTGACCCCTATCCACACCCCTGACCACCCCACCCCCAACTCCCCTGCCCTCTATCCAATCCCCCCCTGCCCCCTTACCGCGCTGCCTGGAGCACCGGTGGCTGGCGGCAGCTCTGCAACTGTGCTGCCCGGCCACCCAGAGTGTTGTGCCAGCACCATGAGGCTGTGTGGGGAGGGGTGACAGCAGGGAAGGGGCCAGGGATGAGCCTCCCGGGCCAGGAGCTCAAGGGTCATGCAGGAGGGGCCCGCGGGCCATAGTTTGCCCACCTCTGATCTACAGGGTGGCCATTGAGTCCAGTACCTGTGGAAACTCCAGCATCGTCAGGCTTCCTTTGTCTATCTGTACCATTATGCCCACTACCTTTGGATGTCAGTGCAGGGATGGTGCCCCAAACTCTATGCTCTTCATCTCTGGGATAGAGATTGCCTTCAGTTCAGGTACTGATGAAGAGACAGGTTCTGCAAATGGTGCTTATGCAGGCTAGGTCAATACCAAGACACCCTCTGCATCATCAACCTTGCTACCAGAGTTCTCGGTACTGGTAACTTCCTCTGATTGGGGACCAAATCCTGACCCCTCAACACCAAAAAAGGGCCTATCTTTTGTACTGGACCCAATTATAAGACCATCTACCTCCTGCAGTTTCCTCTCAGGACCAAATACAATGCCAACCACATTACCAATGGTAACTTTTCCATATTGGAGAGTGAACAACTCAGGTTTTCCAGTGATGCCACCAGGTTGGGTGACCCCACCACCCATCCCTATTGATTATTCAAACAGCTCTTCTCACTCTGGGTCAGAGTCCCCCAGCTCTTCTCCTGCCCCACCTCAGCTAAAGAGGTCACATACATCATCCAAACACGCAGGAAGTAAGTGTTGATACCAAGAGCAGAGCCATTCCTGTAGTAGGGACAGACCTGCCTGGCCTGTGAAACATTGGCCTATTATGTGTGCCCTTGTGTTGTAGTGGCCCCCTGGGATACCTCTCTGCCAGATTGCCACATAAGTTAGATGTAAGATCCCCTTATCTGGAGATGGCCCAAGCCACAGTCCAGCCTATTGTGGAAGCTCAGGATTACATTTCTTCTGGGTTATTCTCTGTGGCTAACAGTTTCCCTGAGAACCAGCATGTACCTCATAAAGTACCTTCAGCTCTGTTAGGGGGCTTATTCCTTCACCCACTTACTTCCCTGGTCCTTCTCGCATGAACAGAGAGCAACAATACCCGAAGTCCAAAGGTGCAAACAATTCGATGTTTATTGGGGTGAACTTCCAGCAAGCATGATTCCAGTTTCCTTCCTTAGTGTCCCCTTTCCCAGCTCTGACACCACAGAGCCTTACCTGTGTCCCTGTTCCCATTCCCCCCCCTTAGCAAAACATGAATCCAATTCCCCATTCCCATTCCCCCCCTTTACTTCCTGATTGACTGCAGACTATATAGTAAAACTTGAGTTCTCCTTAGTTATACCTTAACCTATCATTTTACTGAAATTTAACTAACCAATCCTAACATATTGTAACATGATTATTTAACCAATTATATCCCACCACATTAATTAGTTTACACCTGTCAAGGTTCCTCCCCAACTCTGAACTCTAGGGTACAGATGTGGGGACCTGCATGAAAACCTCCTAAGCTTACTTTCACCAGCTTAGGTTAAAACTTCCCCAAGGTACAAATTAATTTTATCCTTTGTCCCTGGATCTCCACTGCCACCACCAAACTAGCTGGGTTTACTGGGAAACGTAGTTTGGACACGTCTTTCCCCCCAAAATCCTCCCAACCCTTGCACCCCACTTCCTGGGAAAGGTTTGGTAAAAATCCTCACCAATTTGCATAGGTGACCACAGACCCAAACCCTTGGATCTGAGAACAATGAAAAAGCATTCAGTTTTCTTACAAGAAGACTTTTAATAGAAGTAAAGAAATCACCTCTGTAAAATCAGGATGGTGGATACCTTACAGGGTAATTAGATTCAAAACATAGAGAATCCCTCTAGGCAAAACCTTAAGTTACAAAAAGGACACACAGACAGGAATAGTCATTCTATTCAGCACAGTTCTTTTCTCAGCCATTTAAAGAAATCATAATCTAACACATACCTAGCTAGATTACTTACTAAAGTTCTAAGACTCCATTCCTGCTCTATCCCCAGCAAAAGCAGCATACAAAACAGACACAGACCCTTTGTTTCTCTCCTTCCTCCCAGCTTTTGAAAGTATCTTATCTCCTCATTGGTCATTTTGGTCAGGTGCCAGCGAGGTTACCTTTAGCTTCTTAACCCTTTACAGGTGAGAGGATTTTTCCTCTGGCCAGGAGGGATTTTAAAGGGGCTTACCCTTCCCTTTATATTTATGACAACACCCAGCAAAATTAATTATACAGCAGACAGAAACAATCACAGAACCAAACAGAGACCATGTAAATAAACAATGGCAAAGTGGGAACTATAATGACAAAACAATACAGAAGTGAGGATTTCACAACTACATCTATAAAGACATAAGGGTTTTCCAGCTGTGTCTATTGACAAGTGAGTTCTTACCGAACAGAAAACTATCAAACTAAACTTCCTTTTACATCCTCTAGGCTCTTCCCTTTCTCGGGAGGTGATAGATCAGATCACCTTTCTAACAACCCCAGATTGCCTTATTTCAGCATGAATAGTTTGGAATGTGAGGATGTGACCGGTCGCTTCCCAGTTTATGGCTCCCTCTGATGCTTAGCCAAAGGCCTTAGCCTAAGAACAGGGCCTCAGACAGTCACAGTAAGAGAAGACCCTTACACTAGCAGACAGTGATTTTGATTTTCTTTTATACCTCTATAACTAGCTAAGTGATAAGAATACACCTAAATTCTTAGAGTATAGGCCTTTACAGACAGGCCGCAGTATCTATATCCTAACAAGCTCCAGCAGCCCAGTCATCACCATCCTTGTACTATTCAGTGGTCCTGACTTCAGCTTCTTCAGTTTCAGTTCATGTCCTACCAGGAATTGCTCAGGAGAATGGTTGCAACTCTGAGTATTCAAGCTGAGCTGGTACAAATTGGTGGCCAGACTTCAGCCCCAGAAGGGTTGCCTTCCCTCTTAATGATGCCCTATTACAGCTGGCCAAATCTATTTGGCACTGTAAAGGTTCAGACTCACCCCCTCCAGCGCCTCCTGCTGGTAGTCGTCAGGAATTAGCTCGTCCAGCCACCGGAGCGCCCTCTGCAGGCTGGTGATCCGCCTTACCGCTGGCCCCCTGTGACCCTCCCAGGACCCGGTGCCCCTTTCTCTGGGGTGCTGCCCCCCCCAGCAGTACCCCCACACTCTCAGGTTCTGGGTCTCCCCACCCAGGGGAACCCACACGCTCTAACCCCACCTCGCCTCAGTCTGGGCTACTGCCAGTCCCCACTTAGCCCCTTGTATTGGGAACAGACTGCAGTGTCTACATCACTCATCACAGGCAAGGGGGTTTTGGACCTGCCGCCTCCACCTACCCATGCGCTGCCCCTCTACAACCCTGCACCTATTCGGCCTGCAGCCAGGCCTGCAGCCTGAAGCTTTCCAGGCCGGAGCTCCCAGCTCCTCTGGCCAGTGTTCCCTCTAATTTTTGACAGGCTGCATGCGCAAAAAATTCTTCTGTGCAAATTATTGTGCTTCTGTGCAAATTTTTGTGCACACAGTGTTTCGCCGTATGCACGGGGTTTAGGATTTGCGTGCGCACACACAGCTTAGAGGGAACAGTGCCTCTGGCCCTTCCCCAGCCCTGCTCCAATCTAGGTGTCCTGCTTGGCACCTTACAGGCAGAGGGAGAGTGAGTGGGCTTCTGGCTCACGGCCTCTTATAGGAGCCAGCTGGGCCTGATTGAGCTGGCCACAGCTGCAGCTGCTCCCTTAATCAGTCTGGGCTTTTCCCACAGCCCCAGCCCTCTCCCAGGGCTGGCCTCAGCCCTTTCAGGGCCGTAGCAAGTAACCACCCCACTACAGGCACACACTGGCATCGCTAGCCCTAACAGCCAAGCAAATGGAAAAAAGGTATACTGTCCCTTCCCAGGGTTTGAGTTTTTCTATTTGAACCAAACTCCTTAGTTGTCTTGGCAGTTAATGAGACCTCTAGAGCAATAGCCTCTGCAATCATCATGAGGAGTGTACCATGGTTATTTAATTCTAGAATAGCATCAGATATCCAATAATCTATAGATGATCTATCTTTTAATGACAGGTTTCAGAGTAACAGCCGTGTTAGTCTGTATTTGCAAAAAGAAAAGGAGTACTTGTGGCACCTTAGAGACTAACCAATTTATTTGAGCATGAGCTTTCGTAAGCTACAGCTCACTTCATCGGATGCATACCGTGGAAACTGCAGAAGACATTATATACACACAGAGACCATGAAACAATACCTCCTCCCACCCCACTGTCCTGCTGGTAATAGCTTATCTAAAGTGATCATCAAGTTGGGCCATTTCCAGCACAAATCCAGGTTTCCTCACCCTCTGCCCCCCCCCCCCCACACACACACACAAACTCACTCTCCTGCTGGTAATAGCCCATCCAAAGTGACAACTCTTTACACAATGTGCATGATAATCAAGTTGGGCCATTTCCTGCACAAATCCAGGTTTTCTCACCCTCCCCCCCCCCACACACACAAACTCACTCTCCTGCTGGTAATAGCCCATCCAAAGTGACCACTCTCTTCACAATGTGTATGATAATCAAGGTGGGCCATTTCCTGCACAAATCCAGGTTCTCTCACTCCCTCACCCCCCTCCAAAAACCACACACACAAACTCACTCTCCTGCTGGTAATAGCTTATCCAAAGTGACCACTCTCCCTACAATGTACATGATAATCAAGGTGGGCCATTTCCAGCACAAATCCAGGTTTTCTCACCCCCCCACCCCCATACACACACAAACTCACTCTCCTGCTGGTAATAGCTTATCTAAAGTGGACAGCTTATTTTTAATGGACAGTTTTTATTTTCAAACTAGAGAGATGAGGTGTTTCACTCTTTTAAAGATTCACAAACAGCTCTCTGAGAATTTATCCTCCAACCTCTAAGAAGGATCAGTATAAGCCCCCACACCAATATTCTGATCACCGTCACAGACAACCTTTCTGTCCTCCCAGACACAATATGTTTCATCTAAGAGAGACAGAAGCCCCAGAAAAGGTCATCTAATTCTAGCGCTACAACAATTGAACCTGCTATAGGGAAAACCTTTTTTACTTGTTTTTCATAGCTGTTCCACTCACTGATTAAATCAAAGGAGAAACAAATGGAAAAATCCCGTAGATCTGACAGCATAATGAGGCCCACCTTTCACATATGGGATCTTCAGTCAACCTGTTTGCTACAAAAGAAAACAGGAGTGTCAGTTTTGTTCTCAGGCCTTCCATAGTCCAGGCTTCCTCACTGATGCCTTCACATAGAAGAGGACTGGGGATTTAGTGTACACCTTTCCCTGATCCCTCTCATTCTGCAGATCATCCACAAATTGAAGGAAGACTACACCAAATTAATCCTGATGGCCCTGGTCTGGCCAAGGGAGTATTGGTTTTTGAATTCCTCTCTCTCTTAGTTCAACCTCTTCTTTCTCTCTCTCTCTCTGCCTAGACCTTCTATCAGAGGAACGCAATCGAATGCTACATCCAGACCCATCAGTCTCCACCTCTCAGAATGGTTGTTGAGTGTCTAGATAAAGAGTGGGAATATTCCCTGGTGGTTCAAGAGATTCTGTCCAACAGTAGGAACCAATCAATTATGTCTGCTTACTGGCCAACTGGAAAAGGTTCTCTGCTTGGTCCATTGCCTGGGGGATACAACCTGTTTAAGCAAGAATCCAGGACATTTTAGACTACCTCTTACATTTCAAGTCGTCAGGCCTTTCAGTGAGTTTTCTAAAGATTCACTTGGCAGCAATCACTCCCTTCTATGGGGGAATGGATAATAGATTGGTATCTTCCAACCCCCTGGTTGCTAGCAAGGCTGTCAATTAATTGCAGTTAACACAAGTGATTAATGCAAAACAAATTAACTAGATTAAAATAATAGTTTAGTTTTAATTGCACGGTTAATAATGGAATGCCAATTTAAATGTATTTGGATGTTTTTCTAGATTTTCAAATATATTTATTTCAATTACAGCACAGAATACTAAGTGTGCAGTGATAACTATTATTTTTATTACAAATATTTGCACTCTGAAGAAGATAAACTAAATTAATTTTTTTAAGTTCACCTCATACAAGTACTGTAGTGAAATCTCTTTATTGTGAAAGGGCAATGTATGTAAAAAAATTTCATAACTGCATTGAAAAACAAAATAATGTAAAACTTTAAAGCGTACAAGTCCACTAAGTCCTATTTCTTGTTCAGCCAATTGCTAAGACAAACAACCATTCCCAGAGAATAGTTATCAGTGGTTCACAGTCAAGCTGGATGGGCATATCAAGTGGGGACTCACAGGGATCAGTTCTGGGTCTAGTTCTATTCAATATCCATTATTTAGATAATGGCATAGAGAGTACACCTATAAAGTTTGTTGACGATACCAAGCTGGGAGGGGTTGCAAGTGCTTTGGAGTATAGGATTAAAATTCAAAATAATCTGGAAAAACTGAAGAAATAGTATGCAGTAAATAGGAAGAAATTCAATAAGGACAAATGCAAAGTACTCCACTTAGGAAGAAACAATCAGTTGTACACATACAAAATGGGAAACGTCTGCTTAGGAAGGAGTACTGCAGAAAGGGATTTGGGGATCATAGTGGATCACAAGTTAAATATGAGTCAACAGTGTAACACTGTTGCAAACAAAGCAAATATAATTCTAGGATGTATTAGTAGGAGTGTTGTAAGCAAGACACGAGAAGTAATTCTGCTCTGCTCCACACTGATTAGGCCTCAGCTGGAGTATTGTGTCCAATTCTGGGTGCCACATTTTAGGAAAGCTGTGGACAAATTGGAGAAAGTCCAGAGAAGAGCAACAAAAATGATTACAGGTCTAGAAAACATAACCTATGAGGGAAAATGGAAAAAGATGGGTTTATTTAGTCTGGAGAAAGAAGACTGAGGGGAGATGGTAACAGTTTTAAAGTATATAAAAGATTGTTACAAGGAGGAGGGAGAAAAATTGTTCTCAGTCACGTCCAAGGATAGTACAAGAAGCAATTGGCTTAAATTGCAGCAAGGACAGTTTAGGTTGGACATTAGGAAAAACTTGGAAACTGTCAGCATGGTCAAGCACTGGAATAAATTGCCTAGGGAGCTTATGGAATCTCCATCATGGAGATGTTTTAAGAGCAGGTTAAACAAACACCTGTCAGGGATGGTTTAGATAATACTTAGTCCAGCATTGAGTGCAGGGGACTGGACTATATGACCTCTTGAGGTCCCTATAATTCCATGGCAGTGTTGTAGCTACTATTCCCCACGACCCAGCGTGAGTTTACAGCACTGGAGGCAAACCAGCCATCGGTCACCCGGCACCGGAGTACGGCACCGCTAACCTCACCAGCACTGAGTGCGAGACACCGATCCCAGTCCCGAGACTTCTGGTACCATTCACGTTCCCGGTCAGCCAGGCACTGCTCCCCGGCTCCCTGGCACCCTGCCACTGCTCAAGGTTCGGCACCGCCCTGATCCTCTCTGTTGGCATCCTCTGGCTCCAAGGCTGACTCCAGTCACTCTAGCTATAGCAGACATCGAACAATAGCCAGCAGAGAATCCCAGCCAGCATGGCAGCCACAGTGGCCTCCTCCGGGTCAGTGGCCCTTCTGGACCCCATGGGCCTACCACCAGCAACAGGGCATCTCCTCCAGAGCCTCTAGGTCCGGACAATCTATGCGACTCCATTCCAGGTCGCCACACAGGCACTCATCAAGGGCAAGGGAGGTCACTCTCTCTAGGCCACCCCTGGACCCACAAGAGCAACCGGTGCCCCCAGGCCCAATACCCGAGGTGGTGCTAAGCTCTGCGACACCTCGAGAGGTGTCAGCCCCTCAAGGCCCTGAAATGACCCAGGCATATGAGGACACATACAGGAGGGTCTAGATGAGGGCAACCTGCAGCACCTCACTTCCTCCTCCCGAGATGAGGCAGTGGCAGGTACATCAGTCTCAGGACTGCCACCGATGGACCACAGGCCTCACCAGGAGCTGCTCCGTAGGATCACCCTCAATATAGGCCTCCAGGTGGAAGAAACAGTTGAGCAGGAGGATCCAATGGAGGATATCCTGACGCCCGAGGGTCCCTCCAGAGTCACGCTCCCTCTCATAAAGACCATACAAACGAATTACAAAACAATATGGCAGACCCCAGCCTCCATCACGCCGATGGCCAGGGCCGTAGAATGGAAATACTTCGCTCCCTCCAAGGGCTACGAGTTCCTGTTCTGCCATCCAACTCCCTGTTCCCTAGTCATTTCAGCAGTCAACAAAAAGGAACAGAGCCAACAAGCCTCGGCCCCAAAGGCCAAGGAAGCCAAGCGTTTGGACCTCTTCGGTAGGAAGGTCTACTCCTCCGGAGGCCTCCAGTTATGCATAGCCAAGCAGCAGGCAATCCTTAATAGACATACTTTCAACTCTTGGATGGCAGTGTCCAAGTTTAAGGATCGCCTGCCCCAGGACTCACTCTGAGTTTGCGACTTTAATCGAAGAAGGGAAGACAGTGGCTAAGATTTCATTACAAGCCTCCCCTCGATTCAGCAGACTCTGCAGTCAGAACCATTTCAGAACCCTTTCTGCTGAAAGTAATTTCTCTATCCATATATGTGTATCATTAATGCCTATGAAGTTAGGAGAATTATGTTGTACGATGGTCATTAAAACATGCTGTAAGTTGGGGAATCAGCCAGATATTAGCTCCCCAGAGGCGGCAGCAAGGAAAGTAACCAAGCCCAGGTGGGGTGTCAAACAACCCATCAACAACCATTGCATTGTAGCTCCCTTGCTGGACAATGATTCACCTGCGTGAGGCCACACCAGGGGAATTGCTCAACCTTGCTTGGAGAGACTCAGCAATGACCCCAGACATGCCTGGCCTCGTGCTCCCCAAGCACATGGACTGAGGGTATAAAACAGACAGAGTGGACACATTCTGGGCCCTTCTCCTGCCCCCACCTTCAGCGCAAGCAACTAAGACACATAAAAGAAGACCAGACTCCAACAGAGGAGATTGTTCCTTAAATCTGGGCCAAACCTGTATATTAAGGACTGCAGTATCCAGTGGGTGAGAAAAGCTGCTTAATCTAGATGTTGCCCAGTCTAATAGGGTTGAGAGTTTAGACTGCGTGCTTATATTTTATTTTATTTTGGTAACCACTCTGACTTTCTGCCTATCACTTAATATCACTTAAAAATCTATCTTTGTAGTTAATACATTTGTTTATTCTACCTGAAGCAGTGCGTTTGGTTTGAAGTGTGTCTGCGACTCCCCTTGGGATAACAAGCCTGGTACATATCAATTTCTTTGTTAAATTGACGAACTCATATAAGCTTGAAGTGTCCAGCGGGCATAACTGGACACTGCAAGAGGGAGGTTCCTAGGATTGTGTCTGGGACCGCAGATATCGGCTAGTGTATTTCAGTAGGGATCTATTATCGACCACCTGACTAGGACAATGATAGTGACGATGAAATGCTAAGGGAGATTAGAGAGGCTATAAAAATAAAGAACTCAAGAATAGTGGGGGATTTTGATTTTCCCCATATTGACTGGGTATATGTCACCTCAGGACGAAATGCAGAGACAAAATTTCTCAATACTTTAAATAACTGCTTCTTGGAGCAGCTGGTACAGGAACCCACAAGGGGAGAGGCAACTCTCGATCCAGTCCTGAGTGGAGCGCAGGATCTGGTCCAAGAGGTAACTATAACAGGACCGCTTGGAAATAAGGACCATAATATCATAAAATTTAACATTCCTGTAGTGGGAAGAACACCTCAACAGCCCAACACTGTGGCATTTAATTTCAGAAAGGGGAACTATGCAAACAAGAGGAGGTTAGTTAAACAGAAAATAAAAGGTACAATGACTAGAGTGAAATCACTGCAAGCTGCACGGACACTTTTCGAAGACACCATAATAGAGGCCCAACTTAAATGTATACCCCAAATTCAGTAACTACAGTAAAAGAACTAACAAAGAGCCACTGTGACTTAACAACCATGTAAAAGAAGCAGTGAGAGATAAAAAGGCATCTTCTAAAAAGTGCAAGTCGGATCCTAGTGAGGTAAATACAAAGGAGCATAAACACTGCCAAATTAAGTGTAAAAATGTAATAAGAAAAGCCAAAAAGGAGTTTGAAGAACAGCAAGCCAAAAACTCAAAAGGTAATAACAAAACGTTTAAGTACATCAGAAGCAGGAAGCCTGCTAAACAACCAGTGGGGCCCCTAGACGATCGAGATACAAAAGGAGCACTTAAAAACGATAAAATCATTGCGGAGAAACTAAATGAATTCGTTGCTTCAGTCTTCACGGCTGAAGATGTTAGGGAGATTCCCAAACCTGAGCCGTCTTTTGTAGGTGACAAATCTGAGGAATTATCACAGATTGAAGTGTCACTAGAGGAGGTTTTGGAATTAATTGATAAACTTAACAGTAACAAGTCACCAGGACCAGATGGCATTCACCCAAGAGTTCTGAAAACTCAAATGTGAAATTGAGGCACTATTAACTATGTTTTGTAACCTGTCCTTTAAATCAGCTTCTGTACGCAATGACTGGAGGATAGCTAATGTAACGCCAATATTTAAAAAGGGCTCTAGAGGTGGTCCCGGCAATTTCAGACCTGTAAGTCTAACATCAGTACCAGGCAAATTAGTTGAAACAATAGTAAAGAATAAAATTGTCAGAAGAACATAAATTGTTGGGCAAAAGTCAACATGGTTTCTGTAAAGGGAGATCATGTTTTACTAATCTATTAGAGTTCTTTGAAGGGATCAACAAACATGTGGACAAGGGGGATCCAGTAGACATAGTGTACTTAGATTTCCAGAAAGCCTTTCACAAGGTCCCTCACCAAAGGCTCTTACGTAAATTAAGTTGTCATGGGATAAGAGGGAAGATCCTTTCATGGATTGAGAACTGGTTAAAAGACAGGGAACAAAGGGTAGGAATAAATGGTAAATTTTCAGAATGGAGAGGGGTAACTAGTGGTGTTCCCTAGGGTCAGTCCTAGGACCAATCCTATTCAACTTATTCATAAATGATCTGGAGAAAGGGGTAAACAGTGAGATGGCAACATTTGCAGATGATACTAAACTGCTCAAGATAGTTAAGACCAAAGCAGACTGTGAAGAACTTCAAAAAGATCTCACAAAATTAAGTGATTGGGCAACAAAATGGCAAATGACATTTAATGTGGATAAATGTAAAGTAATGCACATTGGAAAAAATAACTGCAACTATACATACAATATGATGGGGGCTAATTTAGCTACAACTAATCAGGAAAGAGATCTTGTAGTCATGTGGATAGTTCTCTGAAGACGTCCATGCAGCCTGCAGCGGCAGTCAAAAAAGCAAACAGGATGTTAGGAATCATTAAAAAAGGGATAGAAAATAAGATGGAGAATATCTTATTGCCCTTATATAAATTCATGGTATGCCCACATCTTGAATACTGCATACAGATGTGGTCTCCTCATCTCAGAAAAGATATACTGGGATTAGAAAAGGTTCGGAGAAGGGCAACTAAAATGATTAGGGGTTTGGAACAGATCCCATATGAAGAGAAATTAAAGAGGCTAGGACTTTTCAGCTTGTAAAAGAGGAGACTAAGGGGGATATGATAGAGGTATATAAAATCATGAGTGGTATGGAGAAAATGAATAAGGAAAAGTTATTTACTTGTTCCCATAATATAAGAACTAGGGGCCACCAAACGAAATTAATGGGCAGCAGGTTTAAAACAAAAGAAAGTTCTTCACACAGTGCACAGTCAACCTGTGGAACTCCTTGCCTGAGAAGGTTGTGAAGGCTAAGACTTATAACAAGAGTTTAAAAGAGAACTGGATAAATTCATGGAGGTTAAGTGCATTAATGGCTATTAGCCAGGATGGGTAAGGAATGGTATCCTTAGCCTCTGTTTGCCGGAGGGTGGAGATGGATGGCAGGAGACAGATCACTAGATCATTACCCGTTAGGTTCAATTCCGCTGGGCCACCTGTCATTGCCCACTGTCGGTAGACAGGATACTCAGCTGGATGGACCTTTGGTGACCTCCGCTGCTGCCATGTCCTTTGCCCCCTCAGATTCTGGGGGAACCCTCCCAGGTGGCGGGAAGGGCCAGGGCAAGGAGAAAGGGAAAGGCCATGCTAAAAAGACCAGGACCTCCATGGCAGGGACTGCCCCCACTGCCATGGCCCTGCCACTGGCCGCGGTGTCCCTCCCCGCTGCTCCCTCCACCAGCTCTGCGGGTGCCCCCCCCCCCGATCCCTAGGGGAGACAGCCAGGTGGCGGCAGCCCCCCCGCCTGCCGCTATGTCATCTCCTCTGACCACTCCTCTGCTACCATCTATAGCAGCCAGGGCCCCTTCCCCACCTGGACCAGGAAGCACGGCGGGTGTTGGCGAGGGTGGTGGGGCCCACGGCCATCATGGCGGCCTCCAAAATGTACAGAAAAGTTGTCTTCTTCCTAGCATTGGAGGCCGCCTCCCAGGAGGCAGTGGAGAAGAGCCTGGCGGTGGGGGGGCATGTTCGTCCCCCTGGAGCCGCTAGAGGACCTGGGCGTCCGAATAGTCCTGACCTCTGTCCCTCCCTTCCTTCCCAATGCTGCCCTGTTACCCACCCTCTTTACCCTGGGAAAACCCATCTCCATTATCTGCCCTCTCCCACTGGGCTGCAAAGACCCTGCCCTCCGTCACGTCCTCTCATTCCGCCAGCAGGTGCAGCTTCAACTGCTGCCGGCAGCACGTGTGACGGAGAGGTGCTTGAGGGGTCCTTCCTGGTCCTCTACCAGGGGACCTGCTACCGGGTGCATTATTCAATGGGGGAGGCACGGTGCTACCTCTGCTGGGCGATGGGTCACGTCCGAAGGGACTGCCCCTTGGCCCAGCACGGAGGAGCGTCTGGGATCCCCGAGCCTCGGCAGGGTGCTGACTGCGTCATCGCCAGTGCCCCTGGCTGCCCGGCGCTGCCCCTCCTCCTTCCCAGCCCACCACTGCACCCACTCGAGCCCAAGGGGCACCTCCTCCAGTATGCCCAGACGAGCGGGAGAGCCCCGCCCCTGCTGTCTACCATCTGGCGGGGCCTGTGGAGGAGGGTGCAGCAGGAATACCACCGGGCATAGGAGAGGGCCCGCCCCAGGGGGAATCTTCCCTCCCTCGTGCTGCCCCACCGTTACCTCCCCAAGTCCCCAAGCCATCGCCCCTGCCCCCAACCCGACCCTTGCTAGCTAGCCTCCAGATGATGCCATGGAGGGCTGGGCCCTAGTACAGGGGAAGCCGGGCAAGCAGAAGGCTACCTTCTGCTTATTACCCTTAAGATGGTGTGAAAGGCAACCATTGAAATAAAGGTTTCTCCCTCTACTTCTAAAGCTGAGCTTCTAGTTCAACACAGTTTAAGGTAATACAACCTCCTCCATCCTGTTCTGTGCAGCATAGTTTAAGAGAGACTTAGTTTGGTGCATAGACATTGTGCTAGCCCCTTGCAGGTAAATTTCACCCTTTGTGAAACTGGAGCCAGTTTTCTTTACATCATGGTAATTCTTGGTTTACATATACCAGCAGGCACCTTATGTGCCTGTGCTGCTCTGGAAGCTTATGCATTCTTTCTTTTCTAAAGCCTAGAGAAAAAGAAAAGTGCTATAGAAACTAAATGTTACGGGATGTGAATGAATGTGAATGTCAAGACAACGTCGTATTTGTTATACTGTATCAAAATGAGATTAATAAAGACATTAATAGAAATCTGTATGTTATGTCTAGTGCTTTTCTATTGTAAATCCTCACTGTAGAAAACCTCCCAGATCTTCCTTAATTAAGTTGGAGGGCTTACCTGGTCACTTCGTTCTTTATTCCTTTGTACCTTATCCCGTTTAGAAATAGACCTATTCCCCCAAGGCCCAGAGCAGGGGTGGCCAACCTGAACCTGAAAAGGAGCCAGAATTTACCAATGTACGTTGCCAAAGAGCCACAGTAATACGTCAGCAGCCCCCCATCAGCTTCCCTCCCCCCGCTCCCAGTGCCTCCCACCCACCGATAGCCCCACCGATCAGCATCTCCCCCTCCCTCCCCACACCTCCCGATCAGCTGTTTCGTGGCATGCAGGAGGCTCTGGGTAGGAGGGGGGAGGAGCGAGGGCACGGCAGGCTGAGGGGAGGGAGCTGGAAGGTGTGGAGTGGGGGCAGGGCCTGTGGCAGAGCCAGAGGTTGAGCAGTGAGCAGCCCCCAGCACA